CAGTCGCGTACACTTTACGTTTTAAAAACCACCAGAGAAAATAGCCCAATGGTGTTAACCCGCACGATCTTGGAGCCCAATTCACGTCGGAATTTCTCAAAATAATGCGATCTGGAAGTTTCTCGGCCAATAACTGGATTGTTTGGCGAGCTGTTGTGCAAAGTTGCACCGTTTTGCTGGAACCAAGGGTCGTTGGCATCAATACCTTCCAATTTCGGCAAAAAAAATCTGTTATCATAAGACGATAACGTTCGGCGGTGACCGTAACGCCTTTTTTTTCTTCATCCTCGAAAAAGAACGGTCCATAATGCAACCAGCCCATAATCGGTACCAAACAGTTACTTTTTGATCATGGAGAGCCTGTTCATGGATCTCGTGTGAATTTTGCGAACCCCAAATCCTACAGTTTTGCTTATTTACGTCTCCACTGAGGTAAAAATGTGCCTCGTCTGAAAAGATGATTTTAGCCGAAAATCCCTCTCCTTTTTCAAGCATCCAATTAAAAAAAATACGCCGTTGCTGATAGCCTGCTGGCTTCAATTGTTGAGTTAGTTGGATCTTCTATGGGTGTTGGCCTGATGTCCAATTTTTACGAACGGTGTTTTATCGATGCCGATGGCTGTGTTGAACACTTTCACTCACAGCGGCCACTGATTCACGTGTACGAACCGGACGGGCATGTTGATATGTTCTACGACCTTCAACTGAGCCAGTTTCCTCAAAACGATTGATAATCCACCGAATTCCACGCGATTATGTCGACCAGGTTTGCGAAAAGTACTTTTTAAAGATCGTCCGTTTTCGTGATATTTTTGGACGACCAAAATGCGTTCTTGCTTTGTTACAGAATCCATAATAACAAACGGCAGACCACTGACAGTTCATATGTGCTAAACACATCATGGCAGTTGACACATTTAAAATGTCAAAAAATGGTAGTTGAAAAAAGAAGCAAGAGATGGAACATCGTTTATAAGAAAGAAATTAAACAGATCAAGTCAGTCGAACAGGCCCAATCCATAGACTTTTTTTCCTTCCCTACCGGTAGTTGATCTGGCAATGTCGGATTCCCCCGATACCTGAGGGCACAACGCTTCAGTCGCGGCAGCATGACAGTAAGGCTAGAGAATAATTACCAACATCGGTACGCTCACTGGTGATCTCAGGAAGCAGAAGCAGACTTGCGTATAGAAGGCATATCTCTGTCATTTCAAGTTTTAAGGAGAAATGTACGGAGGAATATGAGATTTGTCAAATATGCGTACCGAGGTTAGGAGCGTATAAATTTACTAGATAGCTCTCCCCCACCCCAATAAAAACTATAAAGCTTTTTCGCCCTTGTGTAGAAATTTCATCCAAATCCGCCCGGTACTTTCCAAGCTATAGATCGATCAAGGACCGACGCAAATGAGTGACATGCTTTTTCGTGTCATATAACATCCAAAAAAGTATAGTATCTCATTTAGAAGTTTTTTGCGAATACAATAGTCCCTCTTAAAATCAGAATGCGCACAAAATTATTAGGCGAACTTTTTAATGTCAACTAAAAATAATAAAAAACCCTTGCTCCTGGATTTTGAGGTTTACATGTTTTTACGTCTAATGGGAATATTATAAACAGTATCATCAAATCAAACTACGGTGTTTGAAGTAGTGTCAGATTTCAGTCAGCAAAGACCAGACACAAGACATGGTATGGAATGTGTCCACCGATCAATTGTATAGAAAATTCGTATAGTGATGGTTCATGTTTTAACCAAATGTTCCAATGAAGACTAAGCCCAGAAATGTTTTTATTGGAGATACAGGGTGTTAAAATATGTTACATTGACTCCTGTGGGTACGCCTGCCTGCGCCAAGTAACTCGCCTGTATTGTAGATTTAAAGATAAAGTAAAAATCGTGTGTCGCGAATCTTCATTTAAATTGAGCGACGGTAAAATTCCATGTTTTGTGCATGCTATTTTGTCCTCGTCGATTTTTAGTTGGTTTTTAATTAGTGTAATCGCGGTTTGTACCTTTACAAATGCAAAGTAAGGTAGGCTACCTATACAGGTACACACATCGTATAATCACTACTTCTCTACCCTTTTAACATTCATTAATTTCATGCGAATAGAAATTTAGAGCGGTAAAAAAGACGAGCAGGTACCCAAAAATAACCGAAATAGCATTGCAGTGGGCGGAGCTTATGTAGTGCACATTTCTGCCTCTAGAGGCGTACAGCGCAACTGATTATCAGCTCAGTGCCACCTGAGTTGTCGATCTGGCTTCTTTCGTTCCTCTGTAGTCATTATTTTTGCTAGAGCTCTTTCGTGCTTGTTTCGTTTTTTACGATGTGAGCAACATGCAGCTGTAAAATTTGGCTTTCTAATTGATAAAAATTCTGCTGAAATTGTTTTAACGTTGAAAATAGCTAACAAAGATGATACTGTGGGAAAAACTCAAGTGAACGAGTAGTTTTCTCGATTCAAAAATGGCGACATGTCGATTGATGACAAACCTCGCTCTGGACTGCCCGAATCGACGAAAATGTTGAACAAATTCCAGAGCTTGTGATTACAGACCGTTGACGGACAATCGATTAACTATCCGTAAATAGTGGGTTGTCCTGGACTTCGGTTCAGCGCATTTTAACAGAAGATTGGGAAATGGAAAGGGTTGCTGCCAAGTTGTTCCTTGAGCTCGGACTGACAATCAAAAAGAACAATGAGTTGAAACATGTCGTGTTTTGAAACAACAGCTTGAATCTGATACAAATTTTCTGTCACAGATCATCACTGGTGATGAAACTTGGTGCTATGGTTATAACCCAGAAACGAAGCAACAGTCAAGTCAATGGAAGACGCCATCGTCACCCCGTCGTCAAGTTAAACATCAAAACAATGCTGATTTGTTTTTTTTTTTTTTTGATGTCAAAGGCGTAGTTCATTCCGAGTTTGTTACCCAGGTCACACTGTCAATCAGACCTTTTATTTGGTGGTTTTAAGACGATTGCGAAACAGTGTTCGGCAAAGAAGATCCGATTTTTGGCAGTCAGGAGACTGGTTCTTCTACCACGATAATGCACCTGCGCACACAGCCATCTCTGTTCGACAGTTTCTGGCTAAAAATGGCATGGTTCCGCTGCCTCACGCACCTTAATCGTCTGACCAGGCCCCGTGCGGCTTTTTCTTATTTCCACGGACGAAAGGGGCGCCGCCTTGACGACATTGAAGAGGTCAAGGAAAAAAAATGAAGGAGAAGCTGTCTGACATTTCTAAGGAAGACTTCAAAAATATTTCGAGCAGTGGAAGCACCGGTAGGACAAGCGTATTAGTTGCAGTGGACAGTATTTTGAAGCAGATAAGGTTACTTATAAGTAGCTTTTAAGAAATAATTCCGGCTTTTTTGGGTACCCCCTCGTATTATTAACATTTGCGCCAATATCGTAAAATCCTGTAAGATTATATTTTATTGCTGCTTTTTGGAGTTTGTCAATCTTGCCCAATACAGATAACGAAGGCTGAAAAAAGTCGTCATATGTCATATAGAAATATTCATCCTTGATTATAGACTAGCTGGATAGTATACAAACTATCCATATGTCTGGTTACTTGGATGGAAAATCAACTTTTCACTAAAATAGCTACGAATATTGGTTGGTTTGTATACTATCCAGTTAGTGTATAAACTGTACAAGATTTAACCGCCAAAGTACAAACTTCAACAATATTACATAAATTAACAAGAATTTTTGGCTAGTTCACAAACTATCCACAGTAGGTAGATAAAGTGTGAGCTCAGCATTCCTAGTAATATACAGGGTGACTTTGAAGTTGAGTCATTAATTTTCAGATACCTAATGATTGTAGAAGGAAGATAAACCAAAATATGTGTGTAAAAATAAAAAAAATAAAAAAAAATGTTACCTTGTTTTATAAAGTATCCTCCCGACAAGTATTTCAGTGCGGACCTGTATTTGATCGTGCGGTCTTGGAGCACCGGCATGCTCTCCCCTGTGAGGTCTTAAGTCACCTGATTCACGAGCCCTTTGTACTGCATTAACAAAGGCACGAGGGGTTGGTTGCACTCGATTGGGATACCGATCCGCATAAATCCGTGATGCCGCGTAAATAAGAATCATGTCCACAAGTTCAGCATTTTCGTAAACATGTGCCATTTTTGATTTCGTTTGGGCCACGCAACAGACACCACTATTCACTCACGCGTTACTGACTGACACTGACTGAATACAACTGAATAAAATAATTGTAAAAACATCGTTCCAAATTCTTTCGCTTTTTTGTTTCCGATGCGATGAACCGATAAGGCGGATTATATCCGTTGTTGCCAAATACGAGCACATAATATTATTATTGAGCCAGGGTGGTACTCAAACTTCCAAAGGGCTATCACTTTGTTACTTTAATTTTACCAGAAAAATGGTAAAGGAAAAAAACATTTCTTTTGATCAGATCTACTCACTGTTAAAATAAATGACTCAACTTCGAAGTCACCCTTATAATAACCAATTGGTTGGTTAGTATTTTAAACTAACTTCCTCTGGTTAACTTACTGGAAAAGTGAGGTTGCAAGGTGGTTTGTAGCAAGCATTTGTTATTGCTTAGTATCGTATCTTGTGAAATTCGTTCCTAAATAAGCATCCTGCTATTGAAAATAAATCAACATCAAGAATTTGAAAAAATACTTTTGAAACTTCGTGACCAAAAGTCGCAGAATTCAAAATTAATGAATGATAGTGATTATAATAAACTTTTGCAACGTATAAACAGAATACATGAATCTGGACCTAACCCTAAAAAGAAGAATGATTATTATGTGGTAAATACTTGTGATTTACATATACAAAAAGTGTAAATTAATGTTTTGCTACCGGATATATGTACTTGTAACATCAAGTACCACAACAGTGCAACTTGCTCCAACAAATAATAATGTTCATTGTTTCAGAACTTCAATGTTTTCGGGTTTATTATTAATATTTTGCCGCACAAATACTATTTCTGTTACTTCTTTTTTCTTATTTTTGAGTAGTAATAGAAATGTTACGTTGTACCTAAAAATGAGATATATTTTTGATACAGTATTATTTTACTATCCTAAACTAAATTAGCCAAAGAGGATTGGATAGTTTACATACTAACCAACGAGTTGGTTATTTTGTATTACCAGTGATATTAAGTTCACACTTTATCCAACTACTGTGGATACTTTTTGAACTAATTTATATAACTTTCTTGTGGTTTGTACTTTGGCGATAAATCTTGTATATTTGATAGATTAACTGGATAGTATATTACAAACCAACCAATATTAGTAGCTATTTTAGTGAATCAAAATAACCATACCTTTGCATAGTTTATATACTATCCAGCTAATCTATAAACTAGCGAAGTAAATACTTTAACCGTAACATATATACGGCTGTATATAAAGCACCGTTTTACGAAGAAGCTTGGAAGGAGGAGCTGACAATAACCTTCAGCGTAAATCAAAATAAAATACTGTTCTCAGATGCCGATAGGGAAAAAATATCCTCCTGAATCCGGTTGAAAAATAGGTTAATCGAACTTAATGACATATATACGTCGGAGATTAAGAGCCTCCATCGTTCTTCTATTGATTATAGCGCTAACGTTATTGCGATAGATCTGGGGACATTTTTTATACTGTAAAGATGTGACGATAATCATTCTTTCCAGTTTTCTTCTCACTTTCCCGTGAGACATATGGCGGGATGAAAAATCGGTTCTTAATACTTGTGCCGTATAAGCGTTGTTCGTATCTTTCTCTACAGACTTTGCAATAACATCGAAAGTAGATCAGTATCATATGCACGACAAAATATCCATCATATGTCTACGGATGCAAAGGCAGATTATAAGAACTGAAGAACTTTAGGCTTACAAATGAACTGACAAGTACCTACATCTAAGCGTTTCATTGGATATTATTTGCTACTATCAAAGTCAATGTTTCCACATGTCTAGCATTCAATTCATCTTTAGCCATTAGTCTTGTAAATTGTTCTATGCATATTACAATAAGATAGTACCAGGGCAAAATTTATGTGACAAGACAGTGCAAGGCATCATCTATCACTAGCAGTGAACAGTGAATCACATCCAACCGGTTGGAGTTGTATCGATCTACGTCTGCGAATTGTAGGGCACGTGACCGCTAGATGGCGACGATTGGAGGTGTGTATTAGATGTGGTCTACTTGCCATTGAACAAAATAAACTGCACATGCTCTGTTTACGTCCGTCCGACCAAAGGCAGCCAACGATCGACTGTTGTTAGCGTGGTGTATGGTATATTATGCTACTATCTTCCATTTTGGTATCAAACCATAGTAGCAAAGAAATCTAGTCGTTATAATGCATGTCCTAAAGGTTTTGACACAAAATGTTAATTGGATTGTTTTCTAATGAAGGTATTTATTTAAACACTAACTAGTTATCATTAATTAAAACTCAATACTTAACTAATCTATAGTATCGAATTATGTGGAGTGGCCCGTTCTGCTCTACCAGATGCAACTTTCTTTGAATGTCTCTCATGAGGTCCTGGATAGAATCCAGATCAATTTTTCTCAGTTTTTCGTAAATTTGCGGTCTTAATTGATCTTGATCTTTGGATTGGGCTTCTCAGCCTCCATGATACACCTTCCTAGTAAAGCCCAAAAATATCCTATAGGGCGAGCCTGCGGCAAGTTTGGAGGATTATTGTTTTTGGGAACAAAAGGTATGATGTATTGTCGAGGCCAGTTTTGGGTATCTCTTGAATAATGGCATGATATTGTTGGCATTCCAACCTGATTTTTTGCTCTTCTCACAAATCTCTTTGACCTCTGTGCAATAAATGCACGTGGTCTTCCACTATTTGAGAAATTCAGACATGGTATTCCCTGCTCGCATTCGGCTATTGTTCAATAAATGGGTCGGCGTGAAGTGTTTTCATTCTGGAATATTCTACAGATTTCAGCTTTGGGTACCCGCCCAACTTTTTCTTCTTTCTAATTTATACAACTCAAATATCTTTCTTCAACGAAAACGTTTTTAAAAAGATTTATTTTTGAGAAAGACCAAATACAATGATGTTAATTGAATGAGTTCTGAATCGAGACTGGCTGCAAAGTTCATTATACAAACCAAAGTAAAGAACAAATGAAATACAATACTGTAACTGATAAGAAAGGAACGTGGAGGCAAAAGTCCTTGTTCAGCATATTCTTCTCTGTAGACTGGTACATAACTCCTCCACCCCTAGAATGAAGCTTCCCCTGGAAGGTGAATTTCTTTCTTCTTATATCTTGAACTGGAATCTTCTCTTCTAGTGCGTTTTGTGGGACTTGGACCTTCTTCTTTCATCTCGGCTAATTCAATGTCGATTTATACCTTGGATGCTTTCTTGTTTCTCCATCTTCTATATAAAATTATGCAGCAGATGCTTGAAAATACGAGATATAGTAATATGGTCCAAATACTGGGTTTTCCAAAATTTTCTATGGAATTTTCTTCTAAAATTGGTAACATTCGATTAACTTGTAATTCTGGTAAATTTAAAGTTTTCAGAGTAATTTGTGTCTCTGGGATATTTTGTTTCATAAAATGGAAATCCATTTTGTCAGCTACGAGGGGCTTTCCATAGGTTTTGTCTTGAAAGATAAGTTCATTGTCTTGGAATGATATTTGGCATTCACTGGCTTTGACTAAGAAAATGCCAAGTAATGACTTTGTATCGATTTGCTCCTTGCATTTAATTTTCAATTTTTCTTCGGTGAGAAATACAGCTAAATACTGGTTAATTTCAGGAATAAATTCGATGTGATTTTCTTCAATCTGAAGCTTCGTGTATCTACATGGTTCTGTATGATCTTCAGTAATTATTGACTTCTCACATTGGGCTTTGTGATTGGCTAATATACGATTAGGGCATTGATAGATTCTACCTTGGGTACAAATCTCGTGCAGGGGTTTGATCTCATTTCGATCAGATTTTAGCAAATACTTATAATTTGGGATAATAGTGACGAATTCTGATTTGTGCATCAGAGTCGGTATAGGTAACATATAATAAAGATCGAAATGTTCAGGATAATCTATAGGAATAGATAGAAAATAACTTATTTGATTCTCATCGATTTTACAACTGATAGAAATAATAGATTCATAATCTAGCATATTTTCATACTTTACTTCAAATGGTAATTCATTTTTATAAAATGTGGATATCTTACGGAGTTCTTGAAATAATTCTCTAGTCCTTATTATACTGGGATGCATGGTTTTCAATTTGCAAAAAGTTATCGAATTTTCGATATCTTGTAAAATATTCAATATGGCATTATAAAAGATAATTAATTGATTGATAATGTCCTTCGCTGAAAGAATATCCTGGTTTGTTGTCTGGTTCAATAAAATATGTTGCAATTGTAAAATGTTATTTCTTAATGTCATCTCATTGTGCTGTATATCTTGAATAGTCCCGTTAAATTTTGCGACAAGTTCATTGTTTACTGAATATTGCATTCTCAGCTGATTTTGAATATGATGCTGATTTTCTTGTAAATGAGATAAAATTTTATCAATACGTTCTCCATCGTCGGAGTCTAAATTTCCTGTTATTGTTTTTACTACATAGCCTATGCCATTAAAAAGTACTCTCTTATCGCGAGTCTTTTGAGAATGAGATTTAATCTATTCGGTTTTCTCTTGAATCAAGCTCCTTATAAGGAGTTCGGCCCTGACCGAAATTGCCTTGTTAGCTATACAGCGAACCTCTACAAATTTTAACAATTTAGTAGTGAATCTCAAACGAAAATTTTCTGCAACAGCACCAGTGCAACAGTTTAAGCCTATACGGACACACTGTGAGTACATACTCAACCTTTATCTGATTAATTATATCAGGAATCGAAATAAATAATAAACCGTACAGCAGACTCGTACAGCACAGCATAGTAAAAACTCTCCAAAACAAATAGTCTCGAGGAGTCAGGTCCGTATCGAGAAATGATACGACGGCCACCTGGAGCGATTATAGAAATTCAATAATGGCATCCGTTGAACACCAAAATGCATCCCAAAATGTCACAACAGCTCAATCATACTCCAACGTACTGACTCAAAATACATTCAGATATCCAAATAAAGATCAAGCAATAATATTTAATTCTAGTAATGGAACTAGACTGCAGGACTACTTACTCAAACTTGGTCCAATAATCAGCCCTAAAAATATACTTTTTTGTTCTAGAATTTCGAATAACAGAATTTGTATATACTTAGCAAGTAAACATATAGTCGATAAATTTCTAGAAAATCCTGGACAAATAGAACTCAATGGTGAGATCATAAAAGCACGCAGACTAATAACACCATCCGATCGACTAGTAATTTCGAATGTGAGTCCTACAGTCCCACACACAGTTATAAATGAAAAATTATTACAAATTGGCCTGAAACTAGTCTCACCACTTACTTTTTTGAGAATTGGAGCTCCATTGCCTGAGTATAGCCATATACTCAGTTTTAGAAGACAAGTATATATTGAACCCAACCAAAATTCGGCAAATCTCCCAGAGTCACTAGAAATAACGCATGATAACATAACCTACCGCATTTTTCTATCATTAGACAGCCAAAAGTGTTTCAAATGCAATAGACAAGGACATATAGCTTCCCAGTGCCCATTTTCTACCCAACTGCAAACAAACATAATAGAAACACCACCACAGTCTACCAATCAACTGGAAACGGCAAACACTCAACAAGTAAACGAGCAACAAATAACCACAGCATCAAGTCATGAACCAGCAACATCTCAATATACAACCAACACACAAGAAGCAGAGGTTCAAAGCCATATCAAACCCATTCAAACAGAACAACAAAACACAGTTGCATTACATGATTTAACCTGTAATAACCAAACGGATACACAAACCAGCACATCCTCCAAACGAAATTTCTCAGAAGCAATTTCGCCGACCACACCAATACATGATCCCTCATCAGACCTCACAAATTCCCCTATATTTCCAAAACCCAAAAACACAAGAATAAAGAAACAAAAGACAAATAGTCAGCCGTCATATATCTCTCAAGAGGCATATGAAGACGTTAAAACATTCATAGACGCCCAAACCCCTGCTTTTACCTTGAATAGTGACCAATTCAAAAGCCTCCTAGAAAACACTCACGGAACCCATGATATAATGAGCATAATCCAAGACTACACAGATGACACTAAAGGGCTCATTGAAATGATACTACTGGTGTACCCTCACATAGCAGATAGAGCAGTGAAAAACAGATGTACTAGACTACGGAAAAAACTAGAACGATATACTGACAATAACATTAACGAATGTCTCAGCGACACCTCTTCAATGGACTCCACAACATATTAAATTATATACTATGTTCATTGGTCTTAGGTCGCTTTTACAATGGAATCTAAATGGATACCACAGCCATTTAAACATGTTACATAAACTCATCTCAGATCAAAACCCTGACATAATTTGTTTACAAGAAACTCGATTCCACGAAACAAAAACACACACGCCAAAACATTACAGGGGATTCTTTAAGAACCGCAACGATAGCTCTAATTATATAGCTAGTGGAGGTGTTGCCATTTATGTCAAAAGTAGCATAGTAGCCAAGCCCATAAACCTTAACACTCAGCTAGAGGCAGTCGCAGTCACAATAGAAGGCTCTCAGAATATTAGCATTTGCAATATATACATACCACCCAATTATCACTTAGATACAAATGAACTGGAGGCACTTCTCCGACAAGTACCATCACCTCGAATTATCCAAGGTGACTTTAACGCCCATCATCACACTTGGGGATCAAGAAGAAACAATACTCGAGGAAAAATAATAAAAGATATTTTGGATACAACAGATCTTAATTTGCTAAACGATGGTACTGAAACAAGACTTGATCTAGGAACTGGAACAACATCAGCAATAGATTTGAGCTTAAGCTCGACAAATCTTGTAACCCGTCTGAACTGGAGCGTATTAGATGACCTGTATGGAAGCGACCATTTTCCTATAGTCATATCTAACCCAGGAGAATTGAACAGTGATACACTACCTGAAAAGTGGAACCTGAAAAAAGCAGACTGGATACACTTTTCGAAATATATAGAACACAATTTACACAAAACTCAAATAAAAGAGAACATTGATGAAACAATACACGAGTTCAATAATATTATTATAAATGCAGCACACACCAGCATTGGTAAAACTAAACCAGTTATGAATAAAATTCCTGTTCCATGGTGGAACGAAGAATGTAATACAGCAATCAAGGCAACTAAGCAAGCAGTAAACAAGTTTAAAAGAAACAGAACTATCGAAAATTTGATAGAACTTAAAGAAAAACGAGCACAAGCTAAGCTAACAACAAAAAAGAATCAAAAAGACTCCTGGAGGAATTTTGTTGGCAGTATAAATAGCTCAACACCTCTAGCGACAGTTTGGAAAAAAATAAAAAGTGTAGCTGGAGCCCCATCATACTCTCCAATCAGATGTTTAAAAGAAAACAATATAACACATACAGATAGCAGAAGAATAGTTGAAGCACTCAGTAAAACTTACCATAAAAATTCTAGCAACCAGAATTACAATCAAGAATTTCTAATACATAAGACCAACGTAGAAGCAACACAAATATTAATCCAGAACAACCAAGACCCAATGAACAAATTAATTTCTGAGCACGAAATGGAGGAAGCACTTAACGACTTAAAAGAAACTTCTGCAGGACCTGATGATATACCCTCCATATTTCTGAAAAAACTCCCAGCAACAGCAAAACAACACCTACTAAATATATATAATAAAATATGGACTGAACACCTATTCCCAAATATATGGCGTCAAGCATTCACTATACCTATACTTAAGCCTAATAAATCACCTCTCGTACCAGAATCATATCGACCGATATCCTTAACATGTGCTATGTGTAAATTACAAGAAAAAATAATAAACAAAAGGCTGCTGTGGAGTTTAGAGAAAGGAAATCGTCTAATAAACGAGCAGTCCGGATTCAGACAAAATAGATCCACTATAGATAATATCATCGACCTTGATACACATATACACGAAGCTTTTAGCAACAAGCAACATTGCCTCGCAGTATATTTCGACATGAAAAAAGCATTTGATACTACATGGAGGAGAGATATAATCTCAAAACTACAATCATGGGGATACGATGGGAACATGATTGCCTTCATTTCCAATTTTCTGAAAGATCGAAGTTTTCAAGTCCGGTCGAATGGAGTTTTGTCTAAGCCCAGATCACAGGATAACGGTATTCCTCAAGGATCGATCATCAGTCCAACGTTATTTCTAATTGCTGTCAACGATATATCGAATCACATAGAAAAACCAATTCACGTACGAATATATGCGGACGACATGTTAATATTTGTAAGAGGTAGAAACCTAACAACCAATATTCACCTGATGCAAAAAACAATACAAAATCTAGAACAGTGGTCAGAACGCTCCGGATTAACATTTTCACCAGAAAAGACAAAGTACATCATATTCTCGAAAAAAACAATTGAAGGTGGAACACCATTAAAACTAAATAATATAATACTAGAACAAACATGCGACATAAAATTTCTAGGACTCTTATTTGACCAGCGGCTGACATGGAAGAAGCACATTGCATACTTAGTCAAATCGTGCGAGAAAAGGATGACCGTTCTAAAATACTTATCAAACAGACACTGGGGAGCTGAGGGTGAAACACTCTTGAGCATATACCGATCAGTAATACGATCAAAACTAGATTATGGTAGCATAGTTTACGCTTCAGCTAGTCCTACTGCCCTCAAATCGCTGGATAGTATACACCACCGAGCAATTCGCTTGATACTGGGAGCATTCAGGACAACACCTATCCAAAGTTTATATTGCGAATCTGGGGAACTATCATTGAATGACAGAAGAAAGATATTGAGTTTAGCATACGCCACCAAACTTTCATCTAACAAAAATATACCGGCCCACAGGAACATGATGCAGGCTAATACACATATAAGTACAAGCAACACCAATACAGTACACGGAAAGTCATTCTTCACGAGAACCATTAGATATTTAAGGGATATTAGAATCTCCCAGCTTGCTGGTATAGCACCGGAAACTAACACAAACATTCCACCGTGGATTATAGATAAGCCAAATATCAATAAAGAACTGCTGAAAATAAATAAGACAGAAACTCCTGGACCAGTAATCATTCAACATTTCCAGGAAATACTTCATAGGTATGAAACATATGAAGAAATATATACCGATGCATCTAAAATTGACAACAAAGTAGGTTCAGCTGTTGTGACAACTAGCAACACCCTAACAATGAAACTACCAGACGCAGCTACAATTCTAACAGGAGAATTGCACGGACTACTAGAAGCAATAAAACTTATAAGAGATAAGCACATTCAAAAATCGTTGATTATAACGGATTCGCTCAACTCCCTTTTGCTTATCGAAAAGATATACACAAACAATCATCTGACACATCAAATTAAAGAAATTCTATATGCATTGCAGTTGGAGAATAGCAATATAGTCTTCATATGGGCGCCTTCCCACGTAGGAATCAAAGGCAACGAAAAAGCCGACAAATACGCAAAAATTGCAGGAAACCTTAATGATCCATCACACGTAACCATTCCAGCTTCAGACATCAAGGTCTTTCTGAGAAATAAATTCATTGAAAACTGGAATATCAACTGGCAAAACCATCCATCGAAGCTACTCGAACTGAAACCTAAATTAGGACCATGGACTACAGTGACAACAAACAGAAGACATCAAACCCTGATCACCCGACTCCGTCTAGGACATACCAGAGCTACACATGAATACCTCATCACCCAAGGAGCAGAACCTATGTGTGAAATATGTGAAGTGACACTGAGTGTTAAACATATACTGGTGCAGTGCCCTTTACTAGACTTTTATAGAGTTGACTGTAACATTTTATCCTTAACTCTAGAAAACATCTTAGGACCAAATTGTAACGTATACAACTTACTTCGCTTCTTGAAACAAAATAACTTATTGTACAAACTGTGACACTATAACCATCGCCGCTAATGGCCAGTAGGTCGATGCGGTTAAATAAATAAAAAAAAAAAAAAAAAAAGCTCCTTATAAGATACTATCTTACTATAATTGTCTAGCTCGTTATTAATCTTAGAATGGTTTCTGTAACTATAGTTAAGATTACTGTATTGAATATTCAAATCTTCGTATTCCTTATATAAAGGTGATAGATCATAATAGTGCACAAAAGTATGTTTTGTCTTTTGTAGCCTAGCTGTGCCTAAATTTACTGGCAAAATTCCTAAATTGTTCGTTATGTTTCTTATTTCTGCTCCGCATCTGAAATAGATGAGGTATCTGAAATATTAGTAAATTTAAATTGATAAGTTTTCTTCCTGGGCCTTTTAATATTGGATAAATGGATATTTTTGGAAGTATTGGCATGTGTGGGATCTATCTCCGCTCTTTTTAATTTCTTATCTATACTAATTAATTTTTCTTGCTTATACTTATTTTTAGTTTTCTGTTGCTTCTGCTTATTCTTAACATATACCTTGTTAGGAATATCAGGCAAAACTTCACGTTTCTCATTTGCTTTATTTAT